AAAATTGAATCTTATGAAAGTTGGGCACTTGAATTTGAAAGAGAGATGTTGACTTAGCTCATTTGTTTCACATGCACCTAAAAAATGTTTCACATGTTGATCACGTTTATTCTGTTGGCGTCTGTGTCAATTATTCATTCAGCCCAACCTGGATTTAAGACACTTTTAAGAACAATTCTAACCAACTCAGAAGTTACTGCTTTGGACTTTCAGATAAAACAAGGAGTTCTCCTCGCAGTTCATTATTTTGTTGTTTTTCCTCTTTAAAAAATTTCTTTGGGAAAAATGCTGGTTAATATAACAGTTTTTTTTCTTGAAATAAGAACAATATACGTTTTGCCTAATTTCTATCTAAATCTACAATGTTGAACATATTCTCCAAGCCCAGAGAAGTTCCTTGTTGTATCCACACCCCTTGAGGATGTTAAAAATACAACAAATCATTTCTCTTTTTATGCACCTTTAAAATATGGAAATTAAAAGGAAAATGCAAAGTCTGCCCCTAAGCCATATGGCCGTCCATCCCAGCTAGAGCTTATCCCAGTTTCCTAAGCATGAAGCAACAAGGAGTATCACTACCCCCCTCCCCCGATGCTAGTCCATCACAAGGTTTCCCCCTCCTTTTCCTCCCTCAGAGTTTCATCATACAATTTGCCTGTACCCATGTATACTCCTTGGTGGAGAGAGGCAGTGTGAGTATTTTGCCCAAAAACCCAACACATTTACAGGGCCAGGAAAAACTTAAGGTTATAAAATATTCTAAAATATAGCTGATTATTGACATCTTTGACAAAATGTTGGATCGGGGTCAGATTTTTCAGCTGTTTTGGAGAAAAAGTCACAATTTCCTTGACAAAATAAATAAATTAATGATAATAATAAAAACCCCACTATTCTGCAAGTGTTGTGGGTGTGTAGGGAAGGGGAAGGTTGTGGATAAAGAATGAAACTTTCCCCTATCTCACCAGTTCCATAAAAAATTCCCTATCACTCTATAACAAGTTTTGAACTTACCAAGATAACGCCGGATGAGATCGTACACGGCACAATGAAATAAATCTGCATTCCTATTTGAAAAAAAAATGGACCAAGCATTGAACTACCCTCTGAGTTTTCCTCAGGGGACAAGGAAGTTCCATTCCAAGAATTACTTCCATTTATGTCAGAGCGGTCTGTCGTAGCATGACTTTTTGTGACAGTGAATGGCAACAATCCAGTTAAATGCCCACCAACAATCGGCGTAATCAACAAAATACAAATAACACCCCAGATCAGAGCCTTGAATGCTTTAAAGGCGTCTGTCACTTCCCCTGTTTTAAGTTTGAGTTCACTGTGAAGGAAGATACCTATGACACAGACGTAGTGGGTCGGTAATTTGCTGAAGAAGACACCAGGTTCTGGAGCCAAAATTCCTGAAGCTACGAAAAAGACCAAGCTTATAGGGAAAAATTCTTAAAAACCACTGCCTTCACCGTATTCAAAAACGTCGGTGGTTTCTGCGGTATTTCCTTGGGAGAACCTTCACTTTTAGGAAGATTCATCATCGCCATTGTCGGATTCCGTAACTTAAAGTCTATCGCGCTCTTATGAATGCCTTTTTGGTTATTCAAACTATGTTGCGCGTCAACCCGGGCTCGTGCGAGGAGGCCGTTATAGTCAGTAGTCAAGCAGATGCTCGTTAACTAGACCTTATTCAGCTTTACTGGCCGGTTCCAAATAGCGTGCAAAAACTCAACATAATGCTCAAAACTTTCCACAACAGAATAAGTAATCATGCGTCACAAAATAACCGAGAAGTGGTTATTAGTGCATTACAAAGTCACTTTCTTTTCATGCTACACTAAAGATCCATGATGAACATGGATCAAAACACTTTTCAAAGGTTCAGAAAATAATCAAGCTCTCTTTGATTTGACCGTTTTGGTGACATAAAAACACAGCTTGATGGTTCAGAAAGTACGTTGGAAATTAAATAGTTATCAAATAGACTCCAAGTTGCCGTGTGTCAGTGCAGTAATAGATCACGGATGACGTCAAAATGTGGTAAAAACAAAGAAGTGGCACACGAGGCGCAGCCGAGTGTCACTGATTTTCTTACCACATTTTTGACGTCCTCTGTGATCTATTACTGCACTGACGCACGGCAACTTGGAATCTGTTTGTTTTATATAATAAAGAATTAAAAAAGTTTTAATGATGACGTCATCTATACGTCTGTCCTCCAATAGATGCGTACATATTTGAGCTTATTACTGGGATACCTGTGGTAGCCCAGTCATAAAATGCCTTTGTTTTTTTGTCGTCTTTTTTTTTTTTTTTTTTTTTCCTCCGCCACAAAATGGAAAAATTGCGCAATAGTACCCAGAGGTCATTGGGCCCTCAAAACAATGACAACTAACTGTGATCGAATGAGGTGTTCACATGCTGATCACGCGTGCTATCTTGATGATGATTGACGTTGTCACGCACGGACAGGGCCGGGTCAGATGACGAACACGAGATTTTTTGCCCATAAAACTCTTTTGTCAGTCGTTTTGTATTTCAATGTGTTTGGATTACGATTATCTAGAGCATTATGGCGCAAACGCTAAAAATACTTATAGACGCATACACAAGTCGTATTGTTCGCGGCCAATCCACACAAAAAGATGTTATTGAGCGGTAATTTTGGAACGGACTGAATCGCGAACGCTTGAAAGCCATGAAAGCCTTGAATGCCTCGTATGTCTTGTATGCTAAGTATGCCAATGTCTTAGTTGAAAATGTTCACTCGTTGTAATAAGCAAAATCTGAAATCTGAAACCAAACTGCATATACTCTATGCAATCTATTGAACAACACTACTACCGTGAGACTGAAGAACAAAATTGAAATGGATGCAAACTGCCTGTGAAGAAAGACGCCATGTTGGATTCACTTGATGCCAGGGAACGTAGCTACGATAACAGTGCGAATGTTATTAATTTCACGATCAGAAAGGTGAATCTTATGTTTGTTTTCATTGTAGTTGTATGGATATTCTTTTTTAATAAATACATGATCCAAAATCCCGTGTTTTTTGTGTATAATGTTATTATTACTGGGATACCTGTGGTAGCCCAGTCATAAAATGCCTTTGTTTTTTTGTCGTCTTTTTTTTTTTTTTTTTTTTTTTTTTTTTTTCCTCCGCCACAAAATGGAAAAATTGCGCAATAGTACCCAGAGGTCATTGGGCCCTCAACACCATGACAACTAACTGTGATCCAATGAGGGCGAAGATGTTCACATGCTGATCACGTGTTATCTTGATGATGATTGACGTTGTCATGCACGGACAGGTCCGGGTCACATGACGAGCACGAGATTTTCTTTTGTCGGTCGTTTTGTATTTCAACGTGTTTGGATTACGATCACCTGAAGCGTTATAGCGCAAACGCTCGAAATACTTACAAACGCATACACAAGTCGTATTGTTCGCGGCCAGTCCACACTAAAAGATGTTATTAAGCAGTAATTTTGGACCGGATTGAGTCGCGAACTGTGTATCCGTTGTAGTTTCTGGTGATTTCTGCCGTTTTAAGCTTGCTTTACCATCACTGTTGTTCACATCATCTACTTTTATTACGTTGGTAAAATCTGTACAGACATCACACAAACCAACTCGCGCACAAAATAAGAAGAGTATATTGAAGGCTTGAAATTATATTACGATCGATTTTCATCAAGAAATGGGCCAGGAATTTTCCACAATAGTGCAAATAATCGTGAAGGCTGATCGAGGAAAAGCGATTGCGTGACGCTCGGTAAGCTATAAGATGACATGTTATTATTTACCAGACGTAAAAACTCTTCAGATTCTCAGTCTGCATTTTGTACCCACTCTGAAGTCTCCAGTCTATATTTTGTATCCGGTTTGCTGTCTGCATTTTGTACTAACAGGTATCTGTGGCACCAATACAGTTTATTTTTGGTTACATTTATTCGCACAACACACATAATCTACCACAAAATACCTGTGTGTGAGGTAATTCGACATTTTCGTTCTTTTCCACGTTAATACTCTTCTTTCCTTTTGTAAGAATGTAGACCACAAGTAATCCACCCACCCTACAAAAATAACTCTTGCATGCATAGCATGCCTATGTTTTGAAATAGGTGTATGCCCTTAGCCAGACTTGAGCTCACTATTTCAGTATACTAATCCGACACCCGTAGTATCACTACACTTGATTCCAAGGATCCAGTACCATCCAGGTATCCCAGTTACCCTGATCACAGGGTCTAGTGTTAAGTATTGTTTACGCAATTGTCTTGTCACAGGCAACCCAAGGTCACGTCTCGAGAAAGAGCCAACGATTAATTCACGAACGCGTCACGCGTTGTGTTACTCAGAGTAAGTTATTCTAGGAACCGTTGAAAATTTGAACACGTTATAATGAATAGTATAGGGAACGAAATATGGTCGATTTACAACGATAAATATTTCGAAATATGAAGATTTTTCTCGTAAAATCAATAAAACTTACTCATACCCTGTGTATCCGTTGTAGTTTCTGGCAATTGTTGCCGTTTTAAGCTTGCTTTACCATCACTATTATTCACGTCATCTACTTTTATTACATTGGTAAAATCTGTACAGACATCACACCAACCAACTATGTTGAAGGCTTGAAATTATATTACGATCGATTTTCATCAAGAAATGGGCCAGGAATTTTCCACAATAGTGCAAATAATCATAAAGGCTGATCGCGGAAAAGCGATTGCGTGACGCTCGGTAAGCTGTAAGATGACATGTTATTATATACCAGACGTAAAAACTCTTCAGATTCTCAGTCTGCAATTTGTACCCACTCTGCAGTCTATATTTTGTATCCGGTCTGCAGTCTGCTGTCTACATTTTGTACTAACAGGTATCCGTGGCACCAATACAGTTTATTTTTGGTTACATTTATTCGCACAACACACATAACCTACCACAAAATACCTGTGTGTGAGGTAATTCGACATTTTCATTCTTTCCCGCGTTAATAATCTTCTTTCCTTTTGTAAGAATGTAGACCACTTACAATGTTTCAAGTAATCCACCCACCCTAGAAAAAAGTAACTCTTGCATGCATAGCATGCCTATGTTTTGAGACAGGTGTATGCCCTTGGCCAGACTTGAGCTCACTATTTCAGTATACTAGTCCGACACGCGTAGTATCACTACACTTGATTCCACGGATCCAGTACCATCCAGGTATCCCAGTTACCCTGCTCACAGGGTCTAGTTTAACAAATAAAGCACGCAGGAAGCAGCTAGAGCACGAGAGAAGTGTAGGGAGAAACACGAGACGAGACAAGACCCCACTTCTTAAGTGCTCTAGCCGCCTCCAAAGTGCTTTATAACAGAACAGAGCACAGTCAAGGCTTCTCTATTTACTGGGATACCTGTGGTAGCCCAGTCATAAAATGCCTTTGTTTTTTTTTTCCCTCCACCACAAAATGGAAAAATTGCGCAATAGTACCCAGAGGTCATTGGGCCCTCAACACCATGACAACTAACTGTGATCCAATGAGGTGTTCACATGCTGATCACGCGTGTTATCCCTCAACACCATGACAACTAATTGTGATCCAATGAGGTGTTCACATGCTGATCACGCGTGTTATCTTGATAATGATTGACGTTGTCATGCACAGACAGGGCCGGGTCACATGACGAATCACGAGATTTTGCTTATAAAACTCTTTGGTCAGTTATTTTGTATTTCAACGTATTTGGATTGCTATCTCCTGGAGCATTATGGCGCAAACGCGCAAAATACTTACAGACGCATATACAAGTCGTATTAATCGCGGCTAATCCACACTGAAAGATGTTATTGAGCGGTAATTTTGGAACGGATTGAGTCGCCAACGCTTGAAAGCCATGAAAGCCTCGAATGCCTTGTATGCTAAGTATGCCAATGTCTTAGTTGAAAAACGTTCACTCGTTGTAAAAAGCAAAATCTGAAATCTGAAACCAAACTGCATATACTCTATGCAATCTATTGAACAACACTACTACCGTGAGACTGAAGAACATAACTATAATGGATGCAAACTGCTTGTAAAGAAAGACGACATGTTGGATTTACTTGAGGCCAAGGAACGTAGCTACGATAACAGTGCGAATGGTATTAATTTCACGATCAGAAAGGTGAATCTTATGTTTGTTTTCATTGTAGTTTTATGGATATTCTTTTTGAGTAAATACGTGATCCAAAACCCTGTGTTTTTTTGTGTATAATGTTATTATGTTAAATATCGTTTACGCAATTGTCTTGTCACAGGCGGCCCAAGCTCACGTCTCGAGAAAAAGCCAACGATTAATTCATGAACGCGTCACGCGTTGTGTGACTCGGTGTTAAGTTACGAGAGGAACTGCACGTTATAAGGAATAGTATAGGGAACGAGGTATGGTCGATTTACAACGATACATATTTCGAAATATGAACATTTTTCTCGTAAAATCAATAAAAATTACTCATACCCTGTGTATCCGTTGTATTTTCTGGAGATTTCTGCCGTTTTAAGCTTGCTTTACCATTACTGTTATTCACGTCATCTACTTTTACAACGTAGGTAAAATCTGTACAGACATCACACCAACCGACTCGCGCGCAAATTAAGAAGACTATATTGAAGGCTTGAAATAATATTGCGATCGATTTTCATCAAGAAATGAGCCAGGAATATTCCACAATAATGCAAATAATCGTGAAGGCGGATCGCAGAAAAGCGATTGCGTGACGCTCGGTAAGCTGTAAGATGACATGTTATTATATACCAGACGTAAAAACTCTTCAGATTCTTAGTCTGCATTTTGTACCCACTCTGCAGTCTGCATTTGTTCGGGAGCGATAACGAAAACCTCCTAAATGCGACTAAACTGGAAAACACAAGCGATAACGAAAATCTCCCAAATGCGACTAAATGCCGCTAGAAAACTGCCACTAATTGCGACTAAAAAATGCGACTAAAAACTGCGACTAAAACTCCGACAACACACACGCGAGAAATCGTAAGCCTAACTTGCTTACGACTGATTAACGTTAAATGTCTCAGCGCGCGCGAGCTAATTGCACGACACGCCAGTCCGGTACTTTCTTCTTAACAGCAGTCTATATTTTGAATCCGGTCTGCAGTCTGCTGTCTGCATTTTGTAGTAATAGGTATCCGTGGCACCAATACAGTTTATTTTTGGTTACATTTATTCGCAAAACACACATAATCTACCACAAAATAGCTGTAAGTGAGGTAATTCGACATTTTCGTTCTTTCCCACATTAATATTCTCCTCTCCTTTTGTAAGAATGTAGACATCACTCACAATGTTTCAAGTAATCCACCCACCCTACAAAAAAGTAACTCTTGCATGCATAGCATGCCTATGTTTTGAAATAGTTGTATGCCCTTGGCCAGACTTGAGCGCACTATTTCAGTATACTAGTCCGACACCCGTAGTATCACTACACTTGATTCCAAGAATCCAGTACCATCCAGGTATCCCAGTTACCCTGCTCACAGGGTCTAGTTTTCTATCTTTCGTGTGTTCGATCTACGATAGACTACGGAGTTCCGGTTTTTCACAACGCGCTTCCGCAGTACCTTAAGAACGAGCTCATACATATCGAGAAAAGGGCACTATCGATAATTTTGCCCAGCATGAGCTACAACAAAGCCTGCGAAGTTTTGGGAATAACGCCAATAACCGAACACCATAGTCAGCTATGCACTAACCTTTTTGACGCCATAGTAGCCGACCCCAATCATAAGCTACATGGATTACTGCCACAGAAAAATAATGTTGTTTATAATTTTCGATACAATCGTCCCTTTGTTTTACCGCGCGTTCACACCAATAGGGCAAATAACACTTTCATACTCGCAATGTCCCGGCTATTCAACGCATCTTCTCATAATACATAGATTATTTCTTAAATTTTAGTTCAAGGATGAAAAAGTTTTGCAAATTTAAACATTTTTACCATTATATTTAACATAGATTTATCATAGATTATTATTGTCCTTTTAAAAGTTGTAAAAGTTACTTAATTCAGCCTTCGGGCTGCGATGTGATTTAAATAAACCATCTATCTATCGAAGATTTTGATGTGAAACTTTATCGCATGGCTCCGAAATCAAGAGGGAAGAGCGACATGCAGCTGAGCCAACTAGTTTATTGACCTTAAAGGCGCAAGAAGTAGCCTCGTCTTAATAGGCACCCTGCGTGATTCTGGAAGCCTTGATATTCGTAGAAAACTTAGGAAATGCCTCACCCTCGATTGTGTGCGAAACAAAGACCGCATAGTACTTGAACCAATCGTGCGCCTTACCAGACCAACAGTCTTAGATGTTTTAGAAGAAGTCACGTTTGTGGTTCATACCGTGGTGCCAGAAAAGTATCGCTTCTGGAAATCAAATCAAGGTGGACAGGCCTCTTTATGCAAAGACCTATCGCTCCTAAACGTGGAACCCACGGAAAAATTGATGGCACAGTACCCGTTCGACGAAAACGATTGAACACCCATCTGCAAACTTTAGCCGCTGAATTCAGAAACTCGAAGCTTGTCCAAGCTCGCCCTTCTTTAGAAAAGCCAACTTCAATTTGTACTGCAAGTGAAAATAATCTGTTGGGTGCACACGATGCCTAAAGAGGAATTATAAAAGTGACATTACATTACAATGGAGTTGGTATTGCTGGTACCGGAGTCGTGAACTACCCGACTGGCATTTCGAATGTCATATCTATGGAGGTCCTCACACAAAGAGCTTACTTTGCAGTAGTCGGTTTAGACGATGGCCTTTACGTTTGCAAACTTTCAAGCCTAAAAGTTGACCTACTTCTAAAGAACAACTCAGAGTCTTGTAAAGAAATCAAATGAATTTGTGAATTTGAAGACGGGATAGCGTTCACTGACTCAGGAGATCGAAAAGTAAAGTTCGTCTGTCCCTCGAAGAAAAATGTTAAAACCTTAATGCGCTCTGGTCAGGAAGGGGCAAGTGATGCAACGGATGAAAAGTGTTCTTTTACGCAAGTTCATGGCATCTGTTCTATGGAGAAGACTCTACTCGTATCGGATGTTGCTACAGGTTGCATTAAACTAGCATCGGGACTCAGTAATACTCAAACCGACGAGAGTAGTTATCACGATAAATTTAAACTGACTAACTTCCGTCCATCCTTTCGTAAGCACAAAACCACCAAACTAGATATATATATTCCGTAATTGGTCAAGTACAGTTGAAAATGTATAGATAATGTATATATAAAATAAGTACATTCAAAAGTTCATCTTGAATCATACCTTGATAGACGACCTTAACACCTTATACTATAGTACTATGTATTTTACTGATTTTTCTAGATTTCTTTTATAAAATATTTTACAGGTCGTTGCACCAAAAAAAAAAACAAAAAGAAAAACTCATGAGAGCGATATATTAAGTATTTTCGCTCGCGAACGTGTAATACCTCGATTGAACTGAAAGTTTATACGATATACCGAATCATACCCCTCAATTTTCAAACTAGACGGCCAGTACCGTAAACAAAAATCTTTGACATAAAAAAGTGCTTCAATATTTGCCTGGCGCCTTATCTTTTCCCTAAAGCTCCCACTTTTCCTAAAGCTTGCTCTAGGAAAACTTAGTTTTCTCCCCTTGGAACAGCCAATGTCCGCGAGCAAATATCCGAGGATATTTTCAGGATAAATGCAGGCTATTGTTCAGTTGTAACCTCTACTCAATGTAGTTTTCATCCATGCAGGCAACAGACCGCACTTTCTGTCGGTTTACCGGCGTAATAACCCACTTGGGATGTCAACCCTTTAACCCCTAGGAGTGACTAGCATCTAATTTCTCCTTACAATTTCATCCCTGAATTACACATTAAGGTCACGTTAAGGAAAATGATCACCAGCCGGAGAAGCTCTTGATTGTTAAAAAATTCTCCTTGTCGACATCTTAAGAAAAACATTATGGAGAAAATGCAAACTGATGTGAGGGTGTAAAGAGTTAACCGGAGGCGAATGATTTGCAAACTTTTCTTGATCTTACTTGTGTTCTCCCAACATCCCAATTGAGTTATCACGCCTTTACACCGATATAAAGTGCGGCCTATTGCTTTTCCAAATTTAACTTAAAATTTTTCAATATTCTATGAGTTTACCAATGCAATATACGGTAGGTTTTTTTTAGCAATCACGGGGCTCATAGAATCTCCGTCATCTTGAGCGTCCGCCCAAACCGTTTCCACATACATAAAGTATGGAGTGGTAATTGTGCTTGCTGGCTCAAGTTAATTTTTCCTGGGATCACGGGATTGCGGACATTTCTTAGAGAGGATTGCTTGAAAATGATATAGTTTACGCGTGAAGTGTCAGAAGAATTGAAAGGGAATCCGTATATAGATGGATCTACGCGGTGATTGAAAGCTAGGAGATAGGATATATTATTTTTACTGTCATGGAAGAAGACAGGAAATTCGACGTGGCTGTTGTGGGAGGAGGAGTTGTAGGTTGTTCCGTTCTTTACGAGTTCACTTCCCTAGGACTTCGATGTGTTCTTTGCGAAAAAGAAGAGAATCTTGTCTGTGGCGCTAGCTCAGGAAACAGTGGAACTCTTCACACGGGATTTGATGCGCCGCTCGGTAGTTTAGAGTTACGATGCCTTCAATCGGCGCGAGAATTGAATGAAAGCTTTTTCTCGAAGCATAACATCCCTTACAGGAAATCTGGAGGCTTTATTGTAGCATGGAACGAAGAGGATCTGGAAAAATTGCCGAAAATTGTCGCTATTTCTCACGAAGCAGGTGTTTCAGACGTAAGGCAGATAACAGCTCAAGAACTTCTTGAAAAAGAACCGCACTTGAATAGAAATGCTCTTGGTGCCGTACATGTGCCTGGAGAGAGCATTGTGGATCCGTGGAGAATTCCCGTCACGTTGGCAAACTTAGCACTGGCGCAGAACGCAACCATTTTAACCAACTGTCATGTGACTGGTGGCAAAAGACAAGGGAAGGATTGGCAGCTGTCAACATCTAAAGGGCCAATCACTGCTTCAATTGTAGTCAATTGTGCTGGTTTATATGGTGATGAGCTAGAAACAATACATAGACAAAGCCCATTTACCATCAAACCACGGAAAGGACAGTATGCTGTGTTTGACAAGTCCGCAGGCAAACTTTTGAACTCAATTATATTTCCTGTACCTACACCAAAAACTAAAGGGGTTCTTCTTTTTCCTACAGTTTATGATAACATAATAGTGGGGCCCACAGCAGAAGACCAATTAGATCGCTGCAATGCAGAGATTGACAGGACAGTCATTGACACTTTAATAAATCGGGCACAGACCATTCTTCCATCTCTCAAAGAACATTCTGTCATAGGGACATATGCAGGTCTGCGGCCTGCAACAGAGTTCAAAGACTACTGCATTGAGTGTCAACCAGACAAAGCATGGATCACAGTGGGTGGCATTCGGTCAACTGGTTTGTCTGCTTGTCTTGGGATAGCTAAACATGTGGCAGCTTTTTTACCTTCTCTTGGTTTTGAAAATTGTAATAGTTCACCTGAAAATGGTTTGACAAGGGCTGAACGAAAATGGAAAATAACTCATCCAATTGCAAAGTTTGGGTTGTTAACTGGCGAGAAAATAGACCCTTAAATTAAATTTTGTATAATTAATATATCACTTTGTTTGACAGCATGTATGGGATCAATTAGCAGAACTACTGTCGCTGTGGACATTAGAAGAACATAGAAAAGGTTCAATCCCCTAGTCTTTTCAAGCTGATCAATTTTCATGCAAATATAAGTTAGAAATACAAAATTCAGCTTAGTGAATCACCAAACCTCAAAAAATATTAATAAATAAATTAAATTTATTGAAAACAAATTATGCAAGGGTGTGATACTTCCATTAATTTTATAACTAACATTGATAAAATGATAATAGAATGGAATTATTTATCTCTATAAATGAAATTGATCTGACGTGTTTTATCATTAGAACAGAAAATTATATAACCAGACCATGAAAGTGGTGTTTTCCAATAGACTTTTCAGCTATTTCAAAATTGAAAGTACATAATTTGATTGCTTGCTTTTAGACAAACATATATGTGGAAGACTCTGCAATAAATTAAGTGGGTCATTATGTATTTAAATTATTTTTCAAGCGTATAATTATTTGTTCTGATATAGGGCGAAGAAGCTTCAGGCTTCTTTTCTCTATTAAGAATTCTCCAGGCCTTAATTTTGAGAGTGAATTCTTACTCTCGTACATACTTAGATGAAATGAGAAAGCAAAGTTGAATGGAAAAATAAATAATCAATTGATTAAATAATTAAAGACCTCCTTTTCTAAACATACAAGAGACACACTTGAAGACATACCCCACCACCAGATTACTAAATATGAAAAAAAAAAAAACCCAGTTTAGTCGAACTCCTCCTTGTTAACCAATCAACCCCTAAGAATAACTAACATCTCATTTGTCCTTCTAATATCACTCCTGGATCACACATAAAAGGAAGTGATCACCAATTAAAGACTCACTGGAATTTTAAACAAATTATCCCTTACAGCACTTTAGGAAATGTATGTATATGAACAGTACTGCGACTAAGCATACTGATGTTGGGGTGTAAACAGTTAACCTTTTAACTACCAGAGGAGATTTATTATCCAGTGAACAGGTAATGAGAATACTCAAACCTACCAGGTAGAAGTTCTTATCTTGATCTAACAACAAACTCTCAAAACTAATTAACAAGGAAAAGTGCAGCAGCCAAGAGAAAGAATAAACAATCTTTTGAGGGGTCAAAGGGTTAATAACAGCAACAGGCCTGAGTCGAGTGATTTGTTAATCGCTGGTATGATTACCAACAGAATTGGACTACACAAAGTTCTGTTACCAATTAATCAAAACTGACAAAATTCAAGAAAGAAATTAGACTGATGAAATGTCTTCATTAAAAAAAAAAACAACTGATAATTTCAGGAGATGCACAACAACAGTCCACACACAACACGTACTGTTCACATACAAAAGCAGCGTACATATCATGCTTGTCCAATTACAAGCGTGATGTGTACGCTGTCCTATTAGTTCTCAAATCGGGCTAATGATAGCTAACCACATTCGATAATTTTGTTACAATATATACTTCTTCCCCCTTCTCACTGACACATGTACTACCCCTGTGCCAAGTACCAAGTGATTTACTGATGTCAAGATAAACAAGTCTAGAAATGAAGACCACACTAAAGCTCGATTCAGAGTAATAATTTACTTCAGAGCTACTGTGTTTCCTTGAATAAGCACCCAGGCACTTATTTGAGGCAAAAAAAAGAGTGATACTTATTAGGAGGGCACTTATTATTCTCCTAAACTGATTCAGCACTTTTAAAGCTTAAAAATCCATTAAATAAAGTGGCAATAAAAACAGGTTTTCCTTGTATCCCTATTATCTAAGAAAAAGAGGGAGGAGGGGGGATGGGGGTATTTATTCAAGAGAGGTGCTTGTTTGATATTATGGCCTAGAGGGTGGGTGCTAATTTGGGGAGGGTGCTTAATAGAGCACAGCCATTATTTGAGGAAAGATGGGATATGACTTTGGTCATTAAACAGATGAAACATGAAACTGTTGATTTGCATCACAACATAAATGATCCAGCTCATCATTAGTTGTTTGATTAGTAGTCTCATCTCCATTTAACGCCATGTTGCCAGGGTCAGCTTTCTCTTTTTCTTTCTTAGCATCCCGTGCAAACCACCAAGATGCCCACACTGAATCAGCCACAAGAATTCCAAGGTGAATTAAAATCATTGGCAAGCTTAGCAAGCCTTGTTCAGCTTGCGTAAATGGAAGATAACCAGCTATTGATACTGCGACTGCCAGGGATTTTTGACTGGCCATTATCACAACTGACTTAAGAGCAGATTTTTCCAGTTTCAGTAGAAAACATGGAAAAATGACAATGATGATAAAAAGAAGGTGCATTGCTAGGCCCCATCCAATAACAGCAAAAACACTTCCAACAGAGAATCCGGTGAAGGCTTTTTGTGCACTTGCTTGGCTGACCTTTAGCCAAGGAATCATAGTCAATAGTATGATGCTGATCACTTTCAGTGTATTGGAATATTTCTTCACACATGGCTTCACATGGGGTATATATCTCAAACCTTTGCCAACCTATAAAGAAGAAAAAAAAATTGAAAAAATTTATCTCAGTGCCAGTAGCAAATGCCACTAACCCTAACTTCTGTGAGGAACCAAGACAGAAGTACTCCTTACAATACAAATACAATACAAAGGCAAGTGATGAAAATGAAGAAAAATATCAATTAGGGGGTTATTAGTTGATCCAATGCTAAATTCTCTGAACTAACATGATAAGAACTGTATGGCATTCAGTAACGAGACTAGAAATGATATCTTGGGAGTGAGAGAATTAAATGTTTGTCTGTGTGCAAAAATATAAAGGAGCACATGCTAGGCCTTGGTTGCCTTCAAAGCTAGATAAACCTTAATTGCTTGTTTCAGATTTACCACTTTCCTCCCTCAACAAAAACCCTTGTATCTAGTTCAAATACTTTGTAACATCTAGGCATCTTTTTGTCTCGAAAAGAAATTGTTTATTTGATCATTTGTAATTACAGGAGTCACAAAACTTGACATATCTTCATCTTACAGATAGTGAAAGCAATGCAAACAACTAGTTGAATCATGCAACTGTTCTGCAGTCTATGAATTTTAACTTCTTCGGTTACATTCATTAAATCTGTGATTAAGGCCAAATTAATATGTGACGTGCAAATTTAACAGAAAGGCCAGTGAGATTTGTGAATTTATGAACCAGAATCAAGTTTAATTTGCCTCCTGAAATATATGTGACCCATAGATTTTTCATATCATTTCACAAAAAAACTTCAGTATTTCCCTGAAACCTTGTACACAAGATGAGAATTTGAAATTTTTCCCCTTATATACATGAAACATGCATTTTTCCAAATATTCAAGCATGAAACGAGATCAGGATACCTGCTTTGCCACCCTCCTATCTGTCACTTGGTTCTTTTAACTTTAGCACCAAGAATTTCATGTATTGAATCTTGCATTATTACACTCTTGCTATAACACTTACCAATAATGGAAGAAGCACTGTCAGCAACAGTTTAATCAAAAATGTTACTAGATCCAGCCTAACATTCTCAAAATTTATTATCCAGGCCACAAGAGGAGGAACGGTGAATACAGCAGCCAAGTTACAAAACACTGTGAGCAGCACTGACAGTGCTACAGCACCTCCAGCTTGTGCTGTCTGTTGATAAAAAAATTGTATATCTAAAACTTAGACACTTAAATTATAACCAATATCATAATCCTAATTTATTTTGGAACCATTATGTCAATAATTTTTAAAGCAAGCAAGCAAGATAGTTGCGTCCCTGCCTATTTTAATTTGCGAAAACTGCAAGCATATGAATCTTACAAAAGTGGAGCACATTTCATAGAGTGATGTTAACTTGGCTTGTTTATTTCACATGCACTTCAAAAGTGTTTCACATGTAAGATAGTTGTTTTCCAACCTATTTTAATGTATGAAAACTGTCAGCATATGAATCTTACAAAAGTGGGACACTTGCATTTCAAAGAGAGAAGTTGCCTTGGCTCATTTGTTTCACATGCACTTCAAAAATGTTTCACGTGTTGATCACATGTTTGTTCTGTTGGTGTCTTTATCAAATGTTCATTCAGTCCACGCTAAAATTAAAGACACTCTTAAGAACAATTCTATACCCCTTGGTGGAGAGAGGTAGTGTGAGTGTTTTGCCCAAAAACCCAATACATTTACGCGGCCAGGTTTCAAACCTGGACCTCTTGACCCACAGGGCAGGAAAAACTTAAAGGTTATAAAATATTCTGTGTAACTGGTTATTGACATCTTTGACAAAATGTTGGACAGGGTCAGGTCAGAAAATAAATAACTAAATAATAATAATAATAATAATAAAAATAATAATAAAAACCCTACTATTCTGCAGGTGTTGTGTATGTGTGTGTGGGGGATAAATGGAGAAAAAATTAAACTTTCCTAAGCTCGCCAAATTCCCTATCGCTCTATGACACATGTTTTAAACTTACCAAGATAACGCCAGACGAGATCGTACACGGCACGATGAAATAAATCTGCATTCCTATTTGAAAAAAAACTGGACCAAGTACTGAACTACCCTCTGAGTGTCCTCCAGTGGACGAGGAACTTCCATTTATTTCAACGCCGTTTGTCGTGGCATGACCCTTTGTGACAGTGTATGGCAACAATCCAGTTAAATGTCCGCCAATAATCGGCGTAATCAACAAAATACAAATAACACCCCAGATCATAGCCTTGAACGCTTTAAAAGCGTCTTTCACTTCTCCTGTTTTAAGTTTGATTCCACTGTGAAGAAAGATTCCAACGACACAGACATAGTGGGTCGGTAGTTCGCTGAAGAAGACGCCGGGTTCTGGAACCAAAATTCCTAAAGCTACGAAAAAGACTAAGCTTATAGACAAGAAATTCTTAAAAACCACTGCCTTCACTCTAGTCAATAACTTCGGTCGTTTTTCCGATATTTCTTCTGGAGAACCTTCACTCTCAGGAAGATTCAATGCCGCCATTGTCGGATTCATATGGCGCAACTTATTACGCGCGCCTATGAACGTCATCAACAAAACGAATGCGTGACTTCTATTGCGTGACGCACGACGTACGCACACAACAGCTGAAACATTTACTCGTGGAAGGTAAACTGTCTGGGAAGTACGAAGAGTTATTATATGATCTCTCTCCTGAGACCTTCAGTGGTTGATTCACTACAAATGGCTACGCTTTTCAAAAGTCCGGATCAGCCCCTCCTTCCAGGTAAACCAGTAACCCCTCTCGAGACCCGAATTTACCTGGCAGGAAGGTTTGAAATTCCCTCGTTTTTTTTGTAACTCGGGCTAACGTGATATTGTACAGTGTAGTGTAGCAGCGCAAAAGGCTGATCTGCGATTGGAAAAACGAGGCTTTACTCTCTGTCCTCCAACTGCGTCTAATAGTGATACGCCGGAAAAAAAAAAAAAACCAGATTGCAGGTTAACATGAACCCAAAAGCTAACCCAGGCTAGTGCGCATACAACATCAAGAAGCACGCCACGAGCGCTACAATATTCAGGTGGCGAAAACTGGTTAGTACTCTCTGTTTGACACAGTGTGATACCCCCTTGGGAAAATCGTGGCTGTGCCCTCGTCTATTTATAGCAGTCTTTCTGATGATTCAAACCGTACTGCGCGTCAATCCGGGCTTGTGCGAGGAGGACTTTTAAGGTCTACATCTAAGCATACGCTCGTTGACTAGACCGTATTCAGCTGTACTGGCCGGTTCCAAATATTGTTCAAAAACTCGACATAATGCTGAAAACTTTTCACAACAGAATGAACTCGAGCGGTTCACGTGATTTTTAGTGCATTACATAATCACTTTCTATTTACGCTACACCAAAGATCCATGGTGACCATCGATCAAAACGATTTTCAAAGGTTCAGAAAATGCTCATGCTCTCTTCAATTTGACTGTTTTGGCGGTAAAACAAAGCTTGATGATTTCAAAGTATTTTGTAAATTAATATCTTGTATTTACCCTTAGGAAAACGTAATTAAAGGAGATGGAAATCCAGTTTTGATTTCTTTAACCTGGTTATCCATTTACCTTTGGCCAAATAAGAACAAGAAATTATTAACAAAAATGATAAAAATAATAAGTATACAAAAATATATATACTTGCAGAGAGGCCCGTTAATGTTAGCTAATTCGCACAATCATGCTATGCCAAGCATAATTTCCTCATGAATGATCATGTGATATTTGAAATGAATTATCAGTGTTATCATTTCGTAAAATTTTTTCAGCTTTCTCAATTTTCTCTTTTCCTTTTTTTGCATCCCGTGCAAACCACCAGGATGCCCACACTGAATCAGACACTAGGATTCCAATGTGAATAATAATTAGAGGCAAGCTTATAAGGCCTTGCTCAGCTTGTGTAAATGGAAGATAACCACATATTGTTACGGCAATGGCCAGAGTTTTTTGACTAGCCAGGATGACAACTGACTTCAAAGCAGATTTTTCCAGTTTCAAGGCAAAACATGGAAGAAGAATAACAATAATGAAGAGTAAGTGCATTGCTAAGCCCCATCCAAGTACAGCAAAAATACTCCAAATAGAGATCATACTGAAGGCTTTTTGAACACTTGCTTGGCTGACCTTTAACCATGGAATCATTGCTAACAGTATGATGCTTACGGCTTTCAGTGTGTTGGAGTATTTTGTGACAAATGTCTTCACGCGTGTTACGTAACTCAGTCCTTTGCCAACCTATAAGATTCATGTCATCAAAGATTAAGTTTAGCTAAGCTATAATTTAAGTGCACTCCCTGGTTAATAAACTTATAAATAGTGAACTAGGTATATGTTAAATAATCAATATTACAAAAACTTATTCAGCAGAACATTGAAAAGGCATTCTTCAACCTACTCTGGACAACTTGCCTTGTCATAATCTCTTAACATTACGGCAATATGATGAAATGACTGAGTAAATGTTTGATTTAAGAACCATGAAGTAGGATATCGTGTGCAGTGCCTAATTTTTAAACATCCAATACATATAAATAACAACTAAATTAACTTTAAAATCTTGAATGAGTCAAAATAGTATTTGATGTATATTGATACTTATTCTCCTCACACCAAATTACAATTATTCTGATTGTACATACCAATAATGGAAGAAGAACAGTCAGCACCAACTTAATCAAAAGTTTAACAGGATCCAGTCGGACATTCTCAAAATTTATTATCCAAGCCACAAGAGGAGGCACAGTGAATACAGCTGCCAAATTACAAAACACTGTGAGCAGTACAGACAATGCTACGGCACCCCCAGCTTGAGCTGTCTGTTGTTTCAAAGAAAACAAAAACAAAATAAGAAGTATCCAAAGTTCACTAGAATTCAGATTAATTAGCCTGGGTTTGAGTTCTGGCTGTGATAATCATGTTATGTTTTTATTGAAGCCTTTTCACTCTCACAGCACCTCTTTCCATAAAAGATGATAAATTCATGGGTACTTTTTTAAATGTGAGGGAACGTTATGTAGCACTCGGGGTAATCCCTAATTAATGAACTAGTATCTCGCCTAGGGGGGGAGAGGGGATTTTGCTTAATATTCTCTGTTGTCTTGTGCCCCTCAGGAATAATTCCGGTCAATTATGGCTACTCCCTGTAATACTGATACAAGCTTGAAGAGCGTGATCGGGTCGTAATTCTAGAAAGGTTATTTATTATCCAACTGCACAAAGTAGAGTACAAATAATGCACAAATAGAGTACAAATATCCTATGATATTGTACGGTTCTTTGGACAGTTGGTTATTTTGTACTTAAAAAACCTGTTTAACCTGTTTAACCTGTTTAACGTTGTTTGTATTTTAACTCTCCTCACGGGCTCGTCAAAATACGGCACAACTCGTAAAAATACTCAGCGATACTACGCACTAAAACATCCAACAAGATAAATTTTTTTGTCACATATGCGTTGTTATCAATTTGTTTGTTTTTTCGTTTTTAGTTCGAACAAACTCACCTGAATTAATTTCACTGATTTTAATTTGGGATTAACATGTATATTAGACCAAACATTTTTATCGTTTTTGGATTTAAGGATGCTAGGTTCCCCACTGATTTCGAGGACGGTCGAAGGAATTGACAATGAAAACAGACTGGATCCGAGGGACAGTCACGCTAGTTCTGGGAATTTTGGCGGGAAAACTCTCGAACTGAACTGATCAGCTGACTGCTTACACATCACGATATAAGAAATAAAACAGACAAGAAAAATTTTCTCTATTTGTGTATTCCACTCGGGTTGTGAAGCGCTGTATGTTGCTGTCTCTGAAAACGCCAACCAGTGGCGTGATGACCCTTTTTTGAACGATCAAGAGACAGAACAGTTGACAAATCACGCGCTCATCATGTATTTTGAAACCTTTGAGAAATTATCATTTTTTTCTCTAAAATTACGTATCTTGTTTTGAGTTTGTGCTTTAGTCGATTCTACAGTTTGATACATTTTAATGTGGCAGGATCTGATCTAAACAGAGATCAAGCCAATCTTGAGAGAAAATATTTCCTATTCGACCTTAAATTCAATCTCCTTTCATTTAGTGTATTCGAAAACGACTTACCAACATAATCCCCGACGAAATAGAACAAGGAGCGATGAAGTAAATCTGCATTCCCACCTGAAATAAAGCTGGGCCAAGTATGGAACTACCCTCTGCGTGTTCCTCATTAGATAAAGAACTATTTGTAGAGATTTTTCCGCTCTGATCGCTTGTCTCAGTGTAAGGAAGCAAGGCTGTAAGATGACCGCCAATAACTGGTGTAATAAACAAGATACAAACGACTCCCCAGATCATAGCCTTGAAAGATTTCAAAGCATCTTTCACTTCTTCTGTTTTAAGTTTGAGTCCACTATGAAGGAATATACCTATGACACAAACATAATTGGTCGGTAGTTTGCTGAAGAAAACGCCAGGTTGTGGAACCAAAATTCCTAATATTACGAAGACAACCAGGCTGATTGGCAATAGATTCTGGAATATCGTTGTTCTAACCCTCTCGAGTAGCGAGGTTCGTTTTTGAGTGGTCTCTGAAGGAGAAGCTTGGTTTTGTTTTTCAGCCAGAAGCGGTATTTTACTCTCGAGCTCCTCTGCCATTTTAGATTCATATGCTTGTTTTGTGCCCTGTCATCTATCCAACTTAAAACCCCCTGATCAAAGGACACGAGCCTCATAGATCACTCTTCATAAACTTTGATCGGTGACGAAATTCGGAACCCGAGATTACCAAGAGGATTGACGAGAAAGGGAGGGCGAAGGGGTGGAGCCTGTGAATTATGATGATCATCCCACTTCACGCGCGCATTTTAAAAACGTCATACGTCACGCACACTTTCATAAAAATTTCACGTATCAAGAATTGAAAGGCAATAAGAAACTTTAAAAAATAAATAAATAAATACTTAACTAGTACACTATACCTAATGAGGTGTTTCTCTTTTTTTCCTCGCAACGAAGAAAACTACAAGGATTTATGTAGATTGGAGTTGAGGTTACCTGGTCATGTCATGTCATGAACAGTTGAAACACGTAAACGCTTATTTGCATCTGACTCGCAAGTCAAAAATTTTTTTATTCTCACAACTTTGAGCTTAGAATAGCAAAGCCTATGAGGATAAGGATTATCTGAAAATATGAACCAGTTGTATTGTTTAACTTGGAATCAGCCTCTCTGGGAACACAGAAAGAAACTTTAGTGGGGTACGTTTAAAAAGTGCCATAGCGTCACAGGCAATACACAACTTGAACAGCTTACGAACTGTGGACATCAAATATAAGTCTTACATACATACATACATACATACACTTTATTTCAACTCAAATTATCAGAGTAGCTCTGTTGAGCTAATATCTTTGAGAAAGAAAAATATTTAAATCAATTAAATCATTAAAATACATTAAAACTACCACTAAAAGTTCATTTTCTTTTTCTTTATGGCTGTCTTAAAATCTTTACATGATGTCATTGTTCTCATACTGTCTGGGATACAAAAAGGATACAATTTCAATTTCTGTCTTTAATTGTCACAATTGCAATTGACAGTTTCTGTCTTAAATACTTCTATTAAATAACTCATATTTCCTGTTATAATATACTCTCTTTGAAGCTTGTTTGGTTTAATGTATTTTGTTGTTATTTCTGTCGCTTTTTTGTTGCAAATATAAGTTAAGAGGTTATCATTATATCTCAACTTCTATTTGCAAGAGAAAAATATTCCATATTTAAAGCTTGCTTTTGCCACACGATTTTCCTTGAAATACTATACATGAATTCATTCTGCTACATGGTTTCATCAATTTTAATAAAACTAAGAACTTGCTGTATTCAAAATATTCTTGTCATCAGCACAAAGGCAGCAAATGCCAAAGTCAGGTAGACCCACGCATTACTTTGAAATGGAGACTTGTGGTAGTGCATTTGCCTCCAATGGGGAACAGATTTATCCAGCTTGTTCCTTGAGTACAAAGCAAGAAGACCTGGAGTCACAAACATGATAGCTAGCCCTGCAAAGGAGCCCTGAAAAATGAGAAATGTAATGTCAAAAAAAAATATTCCACAACAGATTGAATTGATATCCTAGTTGATTCATACAACAGAAAAAAAACTTAACAAAACTTGTTGGCAGATTTAAGCTCTCTTATCCTTATGAGAAGGTCAAAAAATTTCAAGCTAAACTTCCTGAAGAGAAAATAGGTTAAAAAGCTTCAAGCAAGTGGTTAACTTCCATGGGTGGGGCAACTTTGAAGGAATTTCACATTTAGCACCATTCAAACACTAAAAGAACCCTGAAAGCTGTAAGTAAGCCTTTATACGGGCCCAAGTGGCCCATGGGGCCAGTGCTTAACTCTGGTTTTCTTAGCATGAAGTGGCTAGGAGTATTGCTACTCCCCCCTGGATGGGATGCTAGTCCATCACAAGGTTACCCCCAGCATATTTGCTGGTACTCATTTGTACACCTGGGTGAAGAGAAGCACTGTGAGAGTAAAGTGTCTTGCCTAAGAACACAACACAATGACCCCAGCCAGGGCTTGAACCTGGACCACCTGATCCGGAGTCGAGCGCACTAACCATGTTTCACTAACCATGGTTTCTAGGAATAAGACCCCTCAAGACCTACCAGTAACCTAAATATAAATCTAAAACAACCAAACTGAAAGGACCCAGCAATGGACACTTACTGTAAGTGCAACAAGCTGACCAACATCATGTGTAAACACTGCAATAACAACAGGTGGCATAAGGGCCACAAGTGTGAAGATCTGCTGGCTAAATATTAAGCTCTGAAAAAAAGATGCACAATTTATTACCATTAAATATCAGGGAAGAAGAAAATAATCCATTTTTAAATGTATATCTAGTTAGTGTACCAGACTGAACTTTCAAACGTTCTTGATTTTTTAATTTTCAGAGTATGTTTTCCAAAATAAGGTGTCATTCAAACAGGCCAATTTTGCTAAATTCATTGGATATCTTCCATAAATGACCATCATTCTCATCATTATTTATTGCCACTGTCATAACAAATGAGAGATCAAATTACTCAAGCAGAATGTGTTAATTATTCCTATAATGTGTTAGATTTTAATCATTAACATTAAAGTTATCGATATTAAAACAAATAAAAAGTACAGGAAATCCTCCTCAAACCTATCTCCCAATATCTAAAATTTTTAACACTCTTAAAAGCATTTCGATCATACCATTTGTTTCAATTGCTTCTAAAGTCAGTTAACATGTTAATATGGAGAGGGAGAAAGAGGTTTTGAAGCTTTGATTTAATTAGTGCATTACCTTTGAAACTGGAAATAGTGCCATCAAATTATTCCTCAAAGTTATGCAAATCAGAGGAAAGTTGCTACTCAGAGTAAATACAGGATAAAGGCTGAGAAACTTTGCCAAGACAGTAACAGAGTGGTCACTAAAGTTTAATGTATAGAGTGGAAGGATGGCTGATGCTGGTTTATTTAAGACTGCAGAGAAAACAATGATGCCACAGTAGAGAAGAACTATCACATAGTCCACCAAAACAACTTGCAGAGTTTTTCTTTTGTCAGCCAGAGGAAGGATGATGGACGGAACACTGTGATGACACATGAATGCAAACACTGCCATGCCTAAGAGCTGCAATGAAATATTAAACTTCAAATAATCTCATATCTTACAATATAGGAAAACACAGTTAAACCCTTCTGTACAGTCTGACCCTTGAGGATCTGGAAAGTAGTCATTAAAATCAGTAAAGGGGATAAGTTTCTATAGAAACTGTGGTGCTGCACCAGTGGGGGAATATAACAAGGTAATTTGGTTTCATCAGTTGAGTTGATAATGGAAATTGGCCACCATAAGGAGTTTCATAGCTGAAATGTTAAGTGTCAGCCCTTCACCAGAGCAAAAGTTTTGCTCTCAGGAAGGTCACTAAAATCAGTTTGCTGCAAATCATCATTTACGCTTTTTCCATGTAGCCTCATCTAACCACAAGGGTAGTTGGGAGAAATTAAAAAACCTTATACAAACCTGAGACATTTAGGTTTGCAAAATCACCACAGGGCCACATAACCCTTTGACTCCCAGGAGTAATTTAAATGTAACTTCTCCCTTTTCATATCCATACATTATCAATCAAAAAGGTAATAAGAATTTTAGACTTATTGGGTAGAGGTTGTTTTTCTTGATCTAATACCAAATTCTTGTAACTAGTTTACAAGGAAATTTAAAAGCAGCTAGAGGGGAGAATTAACAATCAAATCTTGGGAATTAAAGGTTTAAATGGATGTGGTCTCTAATAGTAGAAAAAGATCAGTACATATTTAAATAACAAATGTACTGGGCTTTAACTTCAGAAGGGGTCATAGCAGTAATTATGGTTTAGAGGTTACAAAGCTAGATTCTGGATCAAAATATCCAAGGTCAAACCCCAGCTGAAGTGTTGTGTGTATCTCATGTTCTTGGGTATGATGAATTGTTAAGGACAGTGCTTAAAGAGTATGAATTAAAAGTTTGGGAACTATTAGACTGAGTAATTAAATATCAACTTACTCCATCATCATTCATACAGCACATGATACACAGCAAACAAAGATAAGTACAAAAACTGTAATACCTCCTTAGCTTTATCTGTATCCCATAATATCAGCTGGTCTGTTGGTACTCTGTGTCCATTTGCAATGTCCAGTAGTGTCAGCACAATCATTAACACCATAGCAGAGTTCCTCATTACCATTGTAAACAATTGAAGATATGTAGTTTTTTGGAAATTAAAGAAACAAAATGGTCCAATGAACATGATAAAACCCCAGAGGAAAGAATAATAAGATATTTGATGGCTGGCACCAACAGCTTGCTCTAATGTTGTAGCAACTGATACTGCATAAATTGCAAGATCCTGAAAAAAGGAAATTTAATCAAATCAAAATTTAAGGTAATTTGATTTCAGCACAATTATCATGACAATTATTAATAAAGGCTTCTTTTAACCCTTAACACCCTATCATCACTTTAAATATTCTCCATACTGTTCTATACATTTCCTAAGGTGCTGACAAGGAGAATTTGTTTATAAATTAGCAGCTTCTTTGAGAGTGATCATTTCTATTATTCTCATACTTTACTGTTTGATTCAGGGGTGATATAACAAGGAAATATTAGATGCTCACCACTATTGAGAGTCAAATGCTTAACTGTGGTGTTTAACACATGTAGCAACATTAATTGTCAAGTTATGCAGATGCCTTCCAAACCTCCCCTGCGAGTTGTTGGTACCTTCACTGGAAGTATCCTAGAGGTCTCCCAATTGGTGACAGAACCATTTGGTGTTGATTCATATCAAGAAAATTCCCTTATTGAAATTACGTTCAACCCTTATAACTGTCTGCTTGACACTGTATTATTTTATGTTCATGAGCAGATAAATATCAAGGTTTGATAAGCTTTGCATTCATTAGGGCTGCAAGAATGGCCTATCATCCATATCAGTTTAAAAAAAATATTAGATACAAATCAGAATTCTCAGAGTATTACTGTGAAAACTGTGTAGTCATTTGTGAACCTTTAAACTCCCAAGATCTGATTGATGGTAATTCTCCCCTCTAGCTGCTACAGATTTCCTTGTAAATTAGTTATGGGAATTTGGTTTTAGATCAAGATAAATAGTTAAGAAGGCACTCACCCCATATAAATACAAACAAAGAACTGCATAGAAGAATGTAGATCCCACACTTCCAAGAAACATCTCTGACAAATAGCCCATCTCAAATTTCTCTTCAATTTCAAACAAAGGAGGAGATATTACATCAGTCTTGACCTTGATTTGACTTTTTTCTTCCATACTTTCATTTTGAAGCAGGCCTCCTTTCACACTGCCTTTTCTACAAACTGATTTTGTTCTTCGCCAAGCATTAGCAGTTGCTAGTACTTCAATCATGAAGGTTACACTAATAAATGCCATGAAAGACACAGTAATGAGACAAAGAACACCTGCAAAAATTCCAGCTTTCGCAATAGCTGATGGAAGGGCAAGAATTCCCACACCAACAAGGAGGTTGAACAGGAAAATAGTGGCAACCTGAAATCAATAGATATTCATGTTTATGTTATAAACCACATAGCCCAATGTGCCCCTGCCAAAACTGAGGAATGTCATGTGATTTCACCTTAGGGGGTAATAACCATGATAACCTTTGTTTAGCCAAAAAATATGCCTAGATGCTGACAGTTTTCCTTTGTTCTTGCACAACTATTGGCTTCTTAGAACTGATAGTATCTTTACAAAAATATTCAAGTATTGCATTTCCTTGAATAAGTGCCCACACTCTAATAAGTACCCTCCTGGAATAAGCACCCACCCATGAATGAGCGCTCCCCCCCCCCCTTACGTTCTTAAATAGTAGGGATACAAGGAAAACCTGTTTCTATTGCCACTCTTTAAGCTTCAACTACACCAGAATCAGTACAGGAGAATAATAAGCATCCCCCTTGATTAAGGGGGAGCACCCCCTGGTTTAAGCTCTAGCCCCAGTTTAAGCTTTAAAATTTTGGATAAACCAGAAAAGCAAACACAATGCACAGTAAATTTTTCTGCATGATCTTTTCCCAAAAATAAGCTCCAGTGAAAGAAGACCATTTTGGAAAAAAGACACTTGCTAAAATTGGCTACACTCCCAACAAGTGGTATCACAGCTCAGTACATTGGAAATGGCAACCAACTATTAGTATGTAGGAGGCAAAGGTGTGAACCCTTTAGAAACCTTTAACCCTTTTAACTCCCAACTTGGTAATTCTCTTTACTGTCAACCATAACAATTCTTTTGATGTTAGGTCAAAGAATTTAGTATTAGATAAACTAATTATCCCCAAATTGATATTTTTCTTTATTCTCATCACTTATCTGATTGATAGTGTATCGATATTGTAAGGAGAAATTCTGTCTTGGTCACTCATGGAGTTAAAGGGTTAATCATTCAGCAGCAGGCGTCCTTTTTTGGTAAAGCTCTTTCACCAAACATTCCTGTCGTACTGTACTAGCTAGCACAGATGGGAAATAAAGGTGCTTATATGAAAGCAGCTCATATTACCCCACAATCTTAGAACAACATCAGTCTAAAGACCCTCTCTGAGAGAAACACGTCTCTAGTTGATTTAAATGTCTCGATTTCCTTTGCATTTTACAACACATACCGTAGCAGAGTAGCTAGATGATGCATAATGAATATCGAATGATTTCCCTGACATGAGTGTTCTGTCCGGAATGAGACTGTGTTAAAATAACACACGAATCATTTTACCTTCCGTACCCGGAATTCGTCGCCATTTTGTTTTTTCGGTTGTACGAGAGAGACTGGGACAAATACAATGCTCAGCTGAATGCAATGAATCGAATATGGCAGGGAGTGGGAAGGTCGAGGTTTCTTTCGTGGACAATTATGCAATTCTTTCCATGAAAAATGGAGAAAACCGATTAAATTTAGAATTTTTTAAGGAATTCTATGCTGCTCTGGATGAGATCGAAAGGTATTTATAAGCTGCGTAATTGTTTAAAGACTTCAGAGCCCTGTTAGTGTTAACCTGAACAGGAACGTTACAGCGAAGGTTAATTTCTCCAGAATGATGAGCTATGCGTGTTTATTGGAACATCTTGAGAAAAAATAGGCTGTTTAAGTGTAATTTTACCCGCTGAGCCAACACAACGAAGTATATTTGATATCTAAATCTTTTTAAGATGTTTGCATAACTGCCTTGGGTGAGTGAGTGATCCGAATGAAAGTTACGTCACTCACCCCCCTCTGCCCCAAGATGAGCGATCTCATCTCGAAACAAAGTCACCCTGCTCTTACAGAAATATGTCTACAGTCATTTTATCATGATCATTATGAATGGTCCCTTTAGCTTGTTTCAAACATAGTCCTCCATATTGAATTTTCGTTTTCAGGAATGAAAAGGTTAAATTTCTGATCACCACTGGAGATAAAAAATTTTACTCAAATGGGCTAGATCAAGAATTCCTTGCGACATGTACTCCAGAGGAGTTCATAGAAACCACATCTTTGCTTCATAAAGTCTTGGCAAGATTATTATCATTTCCCATGTTAACAGTGGCTGCATTAAATGGTACAGTATTGCCAATTAGACTTCTTATACTGTGTGTGGACTCCTTAATGGTACAAGGAGGTTATGTTATTCAATTTTTTTTTCTTGGTTTCATTTGGTTTCAAGTTTGATTGCAGCTTATCAATACTATTGAAAGTCTAAAGGTTGTTAGAAAAAAAACCATCAGCTAAGGATATAATTTTATTTTATTTTATACAAATTCTAAAAGTTGGTTTACAAGAAATGTTTGCAAGGTGGTGGAGATAATTAATGTATAGATTTTAGATGTTAAATGTGGGTTAATATCAGTATCATTTTCTCCATGTTCACAACACAATATAACAATATATTGATGTTCCTACAGTTTTCTTTTTAGTTTTCATTCATGTTCTTGTGTCACTAGTGTGAACCAGGTTTAACTGTGTCGTTTCGTGGATGAAAATCATGATAGCTAGTCCACTGAGTAGCCTGATCATTGGACAGATGTTGACAAATTCCAGCTCACTTGCATTAGACCAACAAGCCATGTTTAAGTTGGTTGTTTTCCTTCTCTGTTGTGTACTATAGGACATACCTTTGCTGGTGGAGCACTATTAGCCCTTGCACATGACTACAGAGTTATGAGAACCAAGAAAGGTTGGTTTAGCTTTCCAGAGGTCAAGTATGGCATGCGTTTTGGTATTGGAAATAACCTGTTGATGAGGTAATTATGCTTGTCTTCTAGTTTGATTTGGCCTCCCTTATTGAGGGAATTAACCAATCTGAGCTGTTTTACCCATTAAAGATACCCAAGACAGCTTAAGGTAACAATGATTCAAAGTATTAGTTCTTGGGATACTAAATATTCCCTGTCTTAATGGCTGTGAACAAATCCTGAACTCTTCAGGTGATGCCTTATCCACCTATGACTAGCACGCTAAGGTAATAAAGATGTCAAAAGTTTTTTTCTTTTTCAAATGAAATCACCCCCTTTCCCACCTTGGTAATTATGGGATTTTTGGACTGGTCTGAGTATCCTTCCCAATTTCAAATGGGATTCCTAATATCACTTTCAGTGAGATTCCCCTCACTTCCCCCCTCTCCCCTTTGAAAATACAGGATTTTCCCCCCAGTATGAGTTCCTTCCTCATATGAATCTCATCCCCTCCCTCCTTCCCCCCCCCCATGGATTTTTCCTATGGTCTCATAAATATTGAATAACTCCTAGCATATACTATCCCACACTTTCATCCCTATGGAGTCCTCCCCAATTTCACCACACCTTTTGCAAGCATTTCTTAGTTCATGGCATCCTTTTACTTCTTCACATGTGCCAGAGGGAAGATAAAGGACCCCAAAGTAATTGCAGATGCTGTATTCATGGGACGACGGTTTGAAGCAGAGGAGGCTCTGGCTGGTGGGATTGTCCATGAAATCTGTGATATTGAAAAACTTCTAGATACAGCCATACGGATGGGAAAGGCGGCTGTAGGCAATAATAACTTCAACAGAAATAGTGTTATGCATTTAAAATCAGATTTCTATAGTGACATCATTAGTGGCCTTCAAAGTGAAATTTTAACCGGCAAAGGGCTTCTGAAGAGCTTTGAATTTTTTGGAAGAAAGTCAAAACTCTAAAAGAGGATTTGGCCTATTGTAAAAACTCCAAATCAAACATTGTGATAGGCGTAATTGTATTAATTTGAACTTTTCCCGAGAGACATGCTTTGTGATCATAGATGACGTAAGGAGATGTGGTGACCGGAAAGATTTTTCTCGTTAACGCGAAGCACTTCCATAAGTAACGAAGTTTGGAAACCGGTTATAAGGAGTTATTCCAAGGAATCAAGGCGGGCTCTTTTGAGAACGATCACCTTATAACTCTATAGCGTTTTAAAACAAAGTGGCAGTCACAGAGGCAATCCTGTGTTTATAGTGTCGTACCTTTTTCCGGACTCGTACCCTTGTCGCTATTTACGTATTGTGTTAGAAGAGAAGACTGGATACGAGGATGGATTGAGGTGAGCAGGGTGTCAAACAGGGCCAGTCCACAAAACCAGAAGCTACAGCCCCTACTTTTTGCGAAAAGTGCGCGGGTTCCTTAACGTCCCTTGCGAACCAGTACGGGAGAGAAGATGCAGGAGACGGGGCTTAGGGTTTATCGTCCTTATCCGAGATCACCGGAATGTCAAACCGTTTTCAGATGTCGTAGCTTAGGCAACACATTTTCCTCAATTAATTTAAGACCCTGAGTGTTGATCATATCTGGGGCTTGAACCTCGACCTTCCGCACGGCAGTCCAGCGCTCTATGAATAAGTTAATCAAGCGCTGCTTTAATAAGTATCACTCCGTCACACTTCTTGACACGTGTCAGGTACTAAATGAACCATTTGAACGATTCAGTGAATGTTGATAATAAAAATGATTTCATTTCAGGAAGACTTCGAAACATATTTAAAGCAGGAAACGGTTGAGCGCAATTGGTTTTTACTATTTTTGCAAATGGTTTTGTTCTTAATGTGCTTTGTAAAGTTACAACTGATGAATAAATTACTTGATATGGGAAGTGATCAGTAAACGGTTTAGTACAGCTTTCATAATAAATTCATTAGGAACAACTATCATGAGCGCATGGAAAAAGGTTTAATGTTCCTCCAAAGTGTGACATGATTGCGATTTGAATATGTTTTCACATCAATTCCTTAAAAAAATTTTGTGAGATGTGGTTATGTTTAACTTGTTGATTACTATTCAACTTCGTTCTTGCAGAACGCCTCATGGAAAACTTTTAATTAACTGTTTAAAATGCTAAAATCTGAGGCTTTAATCACGCAACTGTAGATTTTGTGTGGATGACGGTGTCACTTTTTTTTATTGACAAGCTATGGACCAATCGAAATGTTTCAGAACATTCTAGGCGTTACCCCTCTTTTTGTCTTATTTTCCAGAAGCTTTAAATCTCGCTCAGCAGGATGCCGGAAACGACTGGCCTAGTGGTCGGTATTCAAAGGTAAAAGGTTGTGCATCGCAGCTGCGCTAGTTCGCACAGATATAATTTACCTTCATTTATCCTTGGAGATTCTTTCGCTTATGGTGTGTACCTTTTTCATTAAGGAACATCGCCGATCATTTAAATCAGGAAAATGAATGGCATGAACAGCCAGCAGCCCCAACGAGTTGTGATTCAGTATACGAGACCAGTAACCTCTCCGCATCAAAACTTTGGTTGCTTCATATATGTCTGGAATTGTGTTTTTCAGTTCCTGAATATTTCGTGCGCAATCTGTTGTATAGTTGTTGGTGCCTTTCTACGTGCGGCTGTTTGGTATGTAGGAGTGCCTCTCATTTTCATACATAGTTTCGAAACATTGCCTAGAATGAGTACCCAGTCTTGGCTGAGTATGGTTACCTTTTCGACACTCGTATGCGAGACAAGAGTATATTTATATCCTTTTTAGACATTAAGTATTTCTGTCAAGACGTAAGAAACGTAGCTTCGAGAGCAGCCAGTTGATCCTGTTTGGTAACCCTTGTACTCAATAAAAATTAATCTTTTCACAAATTTAAGTATCACGGATCTTCTAAGATTTTTAGATATTGTTACAGCGTGCCAGTGATTCCACCCATTTCTCTTCTTCTACCCTAAGGAGTAAATTCTTCAGTTATACGCGACTGAGTTTGGTGGGTTGGAAAGGAAAACATTTGTCTCTCGAACCCTGTAAGACTCGTAAGTGCAACTCTCGGTTCTTGCGACATGACCCCAGTCCGGCCTTCCACTTAGGCCGGACGGGGGTCATGACGTTGGCCTGGTTACGTAACAGCCTCGTCTCGGAGATTGACACAAGCCTCCTTTCCAACTTTTTAGGCAAACCATCATTTACGATTTTTTCCACCGAAGCACTACGGAACAGATTAAATCTGCTTGTTAAGAGTGAGGATTAAATTCGTGTATCTACATCGGCAATCTAAAATGAATCGAGTGGTCATTTATCAAAGGCCAGCTCAGCGTTGTAGCGGTCCAAGCTGCACTAAATGTCTTTTAATTTTTTTCACTATCATGTGTTTACTTATTGGTTTCATTTTGACCATGGTGGGTCACCTTGCCGAACCATTTTGGGGCCCAGAAGATGATTGGTGCGACTTTTGCCGCGAGGACAGACTGGAAACAGAACGAAATTTAAAGAATTGTCGAATCGTCGGACCAATATTCCTTGCGATCGGAGGCGTTTTGCTCGTCATTTCGATCTGTTATTGCCAAGTCCAAAACAAAGCAAATCAAGGGCGAGTTATAACCGGACCGCCTTCTACTCAAACTGTCTCTACAAGTCAACCGGGTCCTGGAGCGGTATCAACTTCTCAGTACCCTTCAGGCAACACTTTTGGACCTCAACAACCTTATGGGCCGTCATACGGATATCAACCGGGACCTTACCCGAACAACCCACCTCCGCCCGCTGCGGGAACATATCCACAGCATCCGACAGGACAAGTGTATCCTCCTGTAACACAACACCCTTTCCCTCCTCAAACACAGCACCCTTTCCCTCCTCAAAGTGGACATGATTACTCACCATACCCTTCGACAGATATGCCTCCTCCACCGTCGTATGAAAGTGCTACAGACCAAAGTGTTACAGACCATAGTGTAACTCCAACTGCCCCTCCCATGGAGAAAGTGGGTTAGATAGCTGTGAGGTTAGTTTCAAGTTAAAAACTCCTTTAATTTCTAAATCTTTACGAGAAGTATGATGTGTTTATTCACTACATGATACACTGACCACTTCATCCTAGAAGAAGAAAAAATGAAAACATAACTCAAAAGTAAAAAAAAAATTTAAAGATAAATTTACTAATGTTATTACTATTCTAGAACAGAAAATGCTTTATATGCTTTTATTATACTGCTGGCAGTGCCCATGGGTAATATGAAGCAAGTCCTGAGTTCTGTTTGGCTGCCCGAGTGGGTAAGATGGGCCCATCTTGCCTGCTTGGGATTACTTACTTTGGTCCTGTGTAAGAAAAAAATTGCTTGGAGTGAATTTACGAAAAATGTTAATTAGTTTTGGACAGTGTTGGCAATGGAGTAACTGAAAGTGGTTGAAAACAGTCAAAATGAAGAAAACATGAATAACTGTCAGTGGTTTCTTATGCTACAAAAACAGTTGGCTTCAAATAGTTCTTAATAGAAAAAAATCTTTTTGCTATACGATAATTCTTTTTTGACCAAACCTGTTTGTTCAATATGGCTATTTCTTTTCTGTTTTTTTTTTTTGTTTGTTTTTTGTTTTCATTTTTATGGACCTCAACTATATCTCGGTTCATCAAAAGGCTTAAAAGGACTTGGCTAATATCCAGCCATTTTGATCTCATGCTTGGTCAATGATACATATATTATGGAAATGACTGTTCTTGACCTCCTTCCTTTTTATTATAAGCTGAACAATGCACATATATTGATAGCTTACACTTTATGATATTGGAGGACAGACATTTCTTTGTTGTATAAAACAAATAGATTCAATGTTGCTGTGCGTTTGTTCAGTAGTAATCACAGATGGCATAAAATTTATTTAAGAACATTATTTAGTGACACTCCTGGCTGCACCTTGTGTGCCACCTTTTTTGTTCTTATCACATTTTGACATAATTTGTGAGCTATAACTGAACAGAAGCATGGCTATGTGGAATCTATTTGTTAAATAGGAAAGAATTATCCAACATCTCTTTTATCCTTGAGATTTTGCAAGCTGTAGAGGAGATGGGGCTATTCCTTCCCTGAGGCTCCCAGATAATGTAAAATGTTAGCATGTATCTGAAAGTTTTCCTTATTTGTACAAATAGTGAGGCTAGAAAGAAACTGATTCAGTTTATTAGACATGATTGTTTGAAGTTTTTAGGTTGTGTTTTTCTTTTGAGCTGTAAGATGTTTTAACAGCTGTGTGTGCTTTACACACTTCACACATAGTGGATTCTTTGCATGACGATAACAAACGTGGCATTTTTTCCAATACTTTGTTTTTTTTCATTTTCCTTTTTCCACAATGGAAAAACTTCTAGTTACTAATAAATTTTAGAAGCCAAGTGGCCTATAGTTGGTAGCCCATATTGGTAGTATCTTTCAGCAAGAGGTGATTAAAAGTATGTCTGCTCCTCTAGGATGCGATGCTCGTCCATCACAGCTAATCCACACAGATTTTGTTTGGTTCCCCTGGTAGATGATAGTTAACGATTTATTCTTTTGGGTAGAGAGGGGCAGTGTGAAAGTAAACCCATTACGTAATGACTAGATACATGACCAAACCAATGGTTGAATGCATGCTTTCTTGTTCTAAGGCCCTAGGTCCTTAGCAGCTTTGTCCCCCACAAGCTGAGTCAAGCAAGATGTAATTGAATACCCAGATATTTATTTAATCTTTTTTTTCTATCTAACAGAGGGAGGATGAATCCAGAGACTTGGAGTAACACATGTGATGTGATAATAATGCAAAGATGGTCTGGGGGAATTTCCCAGTTCTATCTTTGCAGAGGCACAATCTTTGAACCAAATCTAGTTTAGGAGGACACATGGTATTATAAGCATATAAAAAGATATGGGTTTGGAAACTAAGTGAGCCAAACCAGATTAGGCCATTTTACAGTTGTGTACTTAGTTGTCCAGCCTTTGATTTGGAGTGAGGCTGATGGTGACCTTGTTGTGATAGAGACCAGTAACTAGTTAGCATGATAACAAAGTAATTTGCATTTGAAAAGCAGCAAGGTTTGTATCATAACAAGGTCAGCCTTAGCCTCACTCCTGTTCAAAGGCCTGGCAAACGAGCACACAACTGTAAAATGCACTATTAAGCTATGGTTATTGCAATTTTTTTTGTTTGTTACTGCTTACATAACTGCATATTTATTCCAAGGTAAACAATTTGTTAATCAAGACTGGAGTATTGATTCAGAATTTTTGATGTTTTCATTCAAATGTAATCCCACATTGTGAGAAAGTATGCTTGATACTATAATGAGTAAAAGTGGTTTACTCATTAGCTTTATTTAAGCATCAATATCCACAATGATAATCTGCCCTTTTATATAAGAATTATTTACAAACTGTTGTGTTGATCACACTTATTGTTGTTAGGGTGAGCACAATTTTTATTTTAAGTTTTTTATTGGTGAGAACTGTTGTGTTGACCACACATGATTAATATTCAATGTTATTAGAGTGAGGCCCCTTGGAGTAGGGGGGCTGGGGAGGGGGGTGGTGAAGGAAGAGGAACCTAATTAGCTATGAAGTGTAGGGCTGTGTTTTATGCAGAATTTTAAAATCTCAGATTGGCTATAAAAATAGAAGAGTCTTGGTATGGATGGGGATAGTATTCAGAGGAAACTGAATCTTGTTTTTTTCAATGTAATCACTGTTTTAAAGCACAAGTTAAGTAATGTGGACAGTTTTGGATGAGGAAGGTTTTTTTACCCCAAGTTGATAATCAACCAAAAGGTTATCTAGGTGGATTAAGTACCAAAAGAAATTTTAAAAAAGCTGAAAATTTAAAGCATTAGCCCTTTAATCATTTGATGTCCATAATCTGTATATCATAAAAGTTATATATAAACTATATCATTTAAGTATATATACAGTTGAACCTGTATTAAGTGGCACCTGTGGGTATTGGCAGGGTGACCACTTAGCCCTTCAACACTCAGGATCTGATTGTTAATTCTCCCCTCTAGCTGCTATGTATTTCCTTGTAAATTAGATGCAAGAATTTGGTGTTAGATCAAGATAGCAACTTCTACCTCATACATTTGAGAACTCTCATTACCTGTTTGTTGGATAGTGGAAGGATATTGTAGAGAGAAGATACATGTGAATCACATCTGGGAGTTAGAGGGTTAATAGAAGTTAACAGACTGTGTAGCACAGGTTGACCAGCATATGACTTAAGTGATGTTCATGCTTAGTATTTGCCGTAACAGTCCAGAGGAGGAAGATAATCTGCAATGCATTGAGGACATTTGAACTCAAAGTACCAACATTGATTCCAAGACATTAACATGATTATATTTTATCTGAGGGATTACTCTTAGTTTTAATAGAGTTGTTCCACTTAAAGTGAAGGTTCAAGACAGGTGGAAGACATTACCAACAGGCCATTGGGACTTAGTCAAGGGTGATCACAACTGCTTTATAGAGGTGACTGCCCAATGGAGGTGAAAATTACAGTAATTTAGGGGATTATCGATCGCTTAGTACATGAAGACTGCTTAGTACAGGTTTGACTGAAGTTTGAATCAGAACTAGAATTGTCCCTGTAGAACTTTGTCTTAGAGGCAAAAACAAGAGGCATGATTGTAGCCTATGTATAAATAAAGAAATCAGTTACAGTGTAGCTACACACTGTGTAGACAAGACAAAATATTGAACTGGTTTTTGTGCTACTTTGTTTCTAGGGTCCTCTCCTCCCCTCCCTTGAGACAAGAAAGGTGTGTTTGTTCACATCCTGTGATTGTGTTTAACAGCTTTGCAACCTTTGCCATAGTATGTTGCAGTACAGAATAAGTGTATGCCATCCGTGACTGACTAAAATTTTTATGGAATGCAACTGATATTAAGAAGATGATCACTATGGCAACATTGCTTTATTGCTTACAGGGGGACATGCCATTGAGGACTGAATGTTGTAAAGCAGACATTGATATCGAACGCACATTCTTGTAAATTCATACTTATAAATGAAAGTTTTCTTGCAAATATACAACATGTGACATAATCCCAGTGGCATTACAGAGCAGTTTCTTGGCTTGCCAAGAACTTCGTGATTAAGCACAGGTGCTCGAAGATGCTAGAGTTAGACCGTGGATAGAATAACAAATTATTCGATTACAACTTCTGTTTAAAAATTAGATTATGTGCTGAGATTTCTATGGTATGTTATATGATAAGCAGAATAATACACGCTTTTTGATTGGTCTTAAATATGATCTATTGAAAGACAGACGTTTTTTGGCAATATGTTTGGTGTGAAAGACCCTATCCCTCGTGGGCTCCGTACGTGTGTGGTTTACAAGTTTTTATGTGCGGGCTGTAATGCCTGCTATGTCGGCGAAACCTCTCGGCATTTATCCACACGCGTAAGTGAGCGCTTGGTCAGCGATAGCACCTCTCACATTTTCAGACATCTACCTAATTCTCCACAATGTCGCACTTTTTGTTCTGATGAGT